GATTCCTAAAGGGGATCTTTGGGAGTTACTTTCAGAGATTCATTTCCTGAAGTAATTTTCTGTGTTGAAACTTTTAAGACTTGTAACCCAGATGTTTTTAAGATCTTTACTCAAACACAACCACAAGCTTTTTATGCCAGTATTTTACTGAAACCATTAAGCATTTGTACCTGAATAAATCAAGCCTGTTCAATAAACATTCTTGTTATTATTATCAACTTACACCAGCCTCAGTGTGAATACCTTTGTGGTCAAAGCCTTATTGAAGTCAGCTTTTAACAGCCTCTAAGAAAACTCTAGTGGCACCGTGGCTGTTCACAGATCAAAACTGTCAATAATACCTCAGCCTGTTTACTATTATTATCTTTTGTAGAATCATTTTAAGTCTCTCAGTCCCAGTGGTTCCCAGTTCCTAGCTTTTAAATAGACAGTTGATTTCAACAACCATACTCCCTCTATATTTTAAGTGAGGTAGTCTGTAATGGTGGTGTCATCATTATATTTTGGCTGAGCAGTGTTGGGATTTTCTTTTTCTATATTACCCCGTCCATAAATTAAATTATTTAAAATCCTCTCTACTACTCAGCTGCATTGTTATAGATGGCCATCTGTTGGGGGTGCAATTTTCTTGCTTCTTGGCAGGGGGTTGGACAGGATGACCCACAAGGTCTCTTCCAACTCAAGAATTCTATGACTGTATAATTCTATGATTCTGGGCAAAGCAGTTCAAGAAGAATATGGACCGGCTGTCCAAAGAAGAGCCACCAACATTATCAAAGGTTTGGAAGCAAAACCCAATGAGGAATGGTTGAAGGAGCTAGGGATGTTTAGCTTGGAATAAAGAAGTGTTTCATAATAAGACACTTTAGGTTTTGCTGCACCCACCCATCCTATCTTTTCTGGAGGAACCTGGGCTTATAGCAATTGCTTGAATCTGAACTGTTTTCTTTTCCAAAGTTTTTATTCAAAGCTGAGATCTGGTTTGCTGAATGCAGTAGCACAGTGGTTGAACCGCTAGCTGCAGAAAAACTGCTGATGAGAAGGTCAACAATTCAAAGGCACAGGTTGCGGTGAGCTCCTGCTGTTAGCCCTAGCTTTTGCCAACCTAGCAGCTTGAAAACATGCAAAAATGTGAGTATAACAATAGGTACTGCTTGGCAACACAACCAGGAAGGTCTACAGACAACAGGTTCCTTGGCTTGGAAATGGAACAAGAGCACCTCCTCATGGCCAAAGTTGAGCATCACTTCCAGATGCCAGAGATGGAAAGAGAAACCTTTATCTTTGTTTGTGTATTGTGTATTGTGTTACATTGTTCACTGTATAAAAGGCATTGGATATTTGCCTGTATATGCGTATACTGTAATCCACTCTGCGTTCCGTTGGGGAAATTGAGCAGAATATAAATAAAGTGTATTATTATTCTATGGTTGAAAGTGCAAAATTACTTTTCCTTTAAAAAAAAGAATGTGGGTTCTTTGGGTGCATCTACACTGCAGAATGAATGCAGTTCGATCTCACTCAATGCTTGTCATTTGGTGAGGCAGCAGCCCTATTTGGCAGAGAAGGTGGAGTGAATCCACTACGAGTTAGGTTTAGAGAAGCCTAGGAAGAAGTAGGCCCAAGAGGTTCGGCAGCCATCTTGAAAAGGGTGCCGGGGGAATACCATTTTAGTCACTCATTTCCTGAAGGGGGCATGTTTAGTAAAAGCAGCTTTGGAGGGGAATGAGAGAGGAATGTGATTGGCTAAGTTAGAGTGGGCGGATCCTAACTTGGCAAGAGGGAAAAATTGTCTTTAAAGAGAGGTTTTTAAATCCCTGTCAGGAGATTGAACTTGGGTGTCAAAGGGAAAGGGTGTTAGGAGATTAGAGGGTTAGAGAGAGAGAAAAGCCTGAGTTTGGTCAGAGTTACTAGCGGGGATAGCTAGTAGGAAGTTAACAGCTATTAGGAAGATAGCTGGGAAGTAGAAAGATAGATCCAGGTTAGGACTATCTGTGCTGCTTTAAGAATTACTGTCAGAGAAACTATACAGAGGGAGAAAGAAGTGTTTCTAGTGTAACTAAGTCAGAACTGCTTTATGTAACCACACACTTTCAAGACAAATCTCTAAAGCAGACAAGCTTTGTACCTGAATTGTTCCTGTTCTTGTAAATAAACTTCATTGTTTATTTTTCATTACATCTGACTCAAGTGTGCTTCTGTGCTTAAAGGTTCAAAAGCAGCTTTAAGCAGAAAACAAGAACTAAATGGTGGCAGCGTATATTTTAAAGAACTATCTTTAAAAGTGTACCTCAGAAACACAACCCTGAGGGCTAAAACCATCACACTCCTTCACAAGATACCCCAAGTAAGCCAAGGGCTTATCAGCGCTTCTAAGTGGGTGGGTGTCAGTGCGCTTTCAAAAAGGGTTTTTTGGGCCAGGAAGAAAGTGCCAGTTTTCTATTACAGCCTTTTATTTTTGGGGAATATTGTATTTCCCAAATAAAGTCATGCTATATTAGTTATGGAAGGCTAAAGAACTTGTAAAACTACAACTCCCATCATTCCCAACTCCCATCAACTCCCATCATTCCCATTGCGTCACGGCATTTAAAAGTGGTGTTAAACTGTACTAATTCTTTAATGCAGATGCGCCCATCATTGCTTTTTATCTCACCTTGCAGTTCTTGCAGCAAGGTCCAAAAAGGCAGTCAATGCCTGGCTTACTTTTACAGTCGTCTTGACAGCAACCATTCCTTCGACATTCCTGCAAATAAAGAGATTGTCATGGCACTAATTTCGCATTGATCAATACTGATCAATACTGTCCCTTAAATAACACTTCTAAAACAAAAAGATGTGTAACTAGCCCCCTTTCCCCAAAGATGGAAGTGGCTGCAAAATAATGACATTCTTGGAATATTTTGGATTTCCAAATAAGATTTCCAAAAGAGAGAAACCCAATGTGTATTTCGTAGGGCTGGGCGGTTTCGTTTCGTTAATTCGTAATTCGTTAATAATTCGTTAATTTTTTCAATTACAAAACGATAACGAACCATTCTGGAGCAATTATTAAAAAAACGAATTTTCAAAAACGTTTTGTAAATGCTTCGTATTTGATATTGTATTTGTTTCGTTATTGTTTTGAGGTCGTTTCGTTATTATTTCCGCATGTCTGGGCCAGTTTTATGGTTTAATTAGTGAAAAAAAATTATAATATCACACCAACAGTCAACAACAGAGGGAGAGGGAAGCTTCAGAAGGTTTTGGAGGTTTTTTAGCGTATTTCGCGATCGCGTCCGCCATTAACGAATCGATTCGTTATTGTTTCGGAAATCGATTCGTTAATTTTTTACCATTTACGAAATTTCGTAAATATCGAACTTTTTAAAAGGAAAATTTTGTAATTATTTTAAATATCGAAACAAAAAAACCCCCCAAATACAAATCGATTTTAGAAACAAATTTTTCCGTTGTTACCCAGGCCTATTTCGCATTTTAACATTACATTCAGAGGCAATACAGAACTTACACTAAATCCTCTAAATGCTACATCAGCCTTTGATTCACCTTGTTCCTGTCAAAAGAAAGAAAACACCGCTCTTATTACCTGCTCATTACAAATAATCATAGCAAAGGTTATTATTTTGTACACTTTGCAGAATTTTTCCAGACAGGGATTTTAATTGTGCCATTGCCTTGCCTTAGATTTAACAAGAAATCAAGCATTTGTAACCAAAGATTTTGTCCTGTTGTAGCCTGGTCAGATTCTGAGTGCTCAAAAGATGAGGAAGGGGATGCTGAGATAGATTCAGATTGGTTGGAAAACATTCCTTTTATTGAAGATAATTAAAAAAAAACAGCAAAGTAAAAAATCACTTTAAAGGAATAAGTAAATCCAATGAGGTGAGAAGATAAGCAGGAGCAAAAATAGTCCAGGGTAAGGTTCAGCAAAAACCATAAAAAAAAGTCCAGGAAACATTAATCCAAGGCATGAGTAGGCATTCATACAATCCAAGAATTCAAATCATGAAACAAGAAATACTTAGACAAGAATCTTCCCAGCAAGACTTCCATGAAGGTGGAGATGTATGAATATGTTAAATGATGCTGTGAAGAAGAGGGAGAAGGCTTGTTTTCTGCTGTCCTTGAAACTAGAGCTCAATGGAGCCATGCATTCAAATGACAGGAAATCATATTCCACCTGAACTTCCTGATTGTAAGAAGAGCTGTTCAACAATGGAACTCTCTGCCTCAGAGTCTGGTGGAAGCTGCTTGCTTGGAGGGTTTTACACAGAGGTGGGATGGCCATCTGTCAGGGGTATAGAATCATAGAATCCTAGAGTTGGAAGAGACCTCCTGGGCCATCCAGTCCAACCCCATTCTGCCAAGAAGCAGGAATATTGCATTCAAATCACCCCTGACAAATGGCCATCCAGCCTCTGCTTAAAAGCTTCCAAAGAAGGAGCCTCCACCACACTCTGGGGCAGAGAGTTCCACTGCTGAACGGCTCTCAGTCAGGAAGTTCTTCCTCATGTTCAGATGGAATCTCCTCTCTTGTAGTTTGAAGCCATTGTTCCATTGCGTCCTAGTCTCCAAGGAAGCAGAAAACAAGCTTGCTCCCTCCTCCTCCCTGTGGCTTCCTCTCACATATTTATACATGGCTATCATATCTCCTCTCAGCCTTCTCTTCTTCAGGCTAAACATGCCCAGCTCCTTAAGCCGCTCCTCGTAGGGCTTGTTCTCCAGACCCTTGATCATTTTAGTCACCCTCCTCTGGACACATTGAAACATTCACACCTAGTTCCAGCAGACAAGGGTCCTTTGTCTCACCCTGGTCATTCCACAGATATATAAACCCTCTTTTCCCAGTTCCAACAGACCTCACTACCTCTGAGGATGCTTGCCACAGATGCAGGTGAAACGTCAGGAGAGAATGCCTCTAGAACATGGCCATATAGCCCAAAAAAACCTACAACAACCCACTGCATAAATAATGTTAAATGATGCCATGAGGAAGAGGGAGCAGGCTTGTTTTCTGCTGCCCTTGAAACTAGAGCTCAATGGAGCCATGCATTCAAATGACAGGAAATCATATTCCACCTGAACACGAAGAAGAACTTCCTGACTGTAAGAAGAGCTGTTCAGCAGTGGAACTCTCTGCCCCGGAGTGTGGTGGAGGCTCCTTCTTTGGAGGCTTTTACACAGAGGCGGGATGGCCATCTGTCAGGGGTGCTTTGAATGCAATGTTCCTGTTTCTTGGCATGGGGTTGGACTAGATGGCCCACATGTTCTCTTCCAACTCTATGATTCTATTCTATCATTCTATATAGTCAGTGTAGACACATATAACATCGTTTAACTGCACTGAACTGCATTATATGAGTCGACACAGACCATACACAGCATGGTTCAATGCTATATAATCCCAGGAATGGCAGAGAAGGCCTTGGAAAACTACAACTCTTTGGATTCATAGAATCCTAGAATCCTAGAGTGGGAAGAGACCTCCTGGGCCATCATCCAGTCCAACCCCATTCTGCCAAGAAGCAGGAATATTGCATTCAAATCACCCCTGACAGATGGCCATCCAGCCTCTGTTTCAAAGCTTCCAAAGAAGGAGCCTCCACCACACTCCGGGGCAGAGAGTTCCACTGCTGAATGGCTCTCACAGTCAGGAAGTTCTTCCTCATTCAATACCACTGAGCCACGGCATTTGAAGGCCCCATCAACACTGCATTATATGGTCATGTGCCCGAGAGATGCAATTCCACACCACGTCCCCATCACACTGACAACAGAGGGATTACCACCACCATCATCCACGTGATAGGCAGCAAAGTCTACTTGGTGCAGAACGTCATTCCTGCTCTCTATTGGTCCACGTACTTCATGCTGTTGCCTCATGGCCAAAGGTTGCGCGTTGGGTTTCATGAACAGACTCAGGATGCCTTCTCCTATGTCCTGAGGAAGGAGGGAGAAGAAAGACTGGCACTGTCAATCATGCACGATGATACACATCTGCCTCTGGCATGCAAACATAGGTCTGGGGTTGCACCACCACCTCCATATGAGCTGAGCCTGCCATTCGGGGGGCCATCCTCCCTAATCCCCTGATACCCCACTTTCAAAATGTCCTCCTTTCAGTCCATTCCCTTCCTCTTTCATCCTCAGCTTGCTTCCAAGACTGCAAACTGAGGCCCAAATGCAAAGCAGTCTAATTCACTAGAAAAAGATAATAATAATAATAATAATAATAATAATAATAATAATAATAATAATAATAATATCATAGAATCAAAGAGTTGGAAGAGACCTCCTGGGCCATCCAGTCCACCCCCATTCTGCCAAGAAGCAGGAATATTGCATTCAAATCACCCCTGACAGATGGCCATCCAGCCCCTGTTCAAAAGCTTCCAAAGAAGGAGCTTCCACCACACTCTCTGCCCCGGAGGAGGGGTTGTTCAATGAAGTTCAACAGGGACAAATGCGAGAGACTCCACTTTGGCAGGAAAAACGAAATGCAAAGAGACAGAATGGGGGACGATGCCTGGCTCAAGAGCAGGACGTGGGAAAAAGATCTTGGAGTCCTCGTGGACAACAAGTTAAACATGAGCCAACAATGTGATGTGGCGGCAAAAAAAGCCAATGGGATTTTGGCCTGCATCAAGAGAAGCCTAGTGTCTAGATCTAGGAAGTCATGCTCCCCATGCTCTATTCCACTTTGGTTAGACCACACCTGGAATATTGTGTCCAATTCTGGGCTCCACAATTCAAGGGAGATATTGACAAGCTGGAATGTGTCCAGAGGAGGGCGACTAAAATGATCAAGGGTCTGGAGAACAAGCCCAATGAGGAGCGGCTTAAGGAGCTGGGCATGTTTAGCCTGAAGAAGAGAAGGATGAGAGGGGATATGATAGCCATGTATAAATATGTGAGAGGAAGCCACAGGGAGGAGGGAGCTAGCTTGTTTTCTGCTTCCCTGGAGACTAGGACGTAATGGAACAATGGCTTCAAACTACAAGAGAGGAGATTCCCCCTGAACATGAGGAAGAACTTCCTGACCGTGAGAGCCGTTCAGCAGTGGAACTCTCTGCCCTGGAGGGAGTGTGGTGGAGGCTCCTTCTTTGGAAGCTTTGAAACAGAGGCTGGATGGCCATCTGTCAGGGGTGATTTGAATGCAATATTCCTGCTTCTTGGCAGAAGGGAGTTGGACTGGATGGCCCGTGAGGTCTCTTCCAACTCTTTGATTCTATGATTCTATGTGTGGTTCAGGCATCACCTGGAATAGCCCTGTGTCCAGTTCTGGGCAAAGCAATTCAAGGAGATGAGCAAGAAGGGAGACGTCAAAATGGTCAAAGATCTGGAAGCCATGAATCCCTCAGAGGAGAGCCTGAAGGAGGTGGGTATGTTTAGCTTGGGAGAAGAGAAGGTTGGGAGGAGATGTGAGAGCCATGTGGAAATATATGAACATCTTTTGGTGGTACGGCTGTACCAGGAGCTTCAGCTTCATTTTCTTTCTATTGAGTGTTTGCATATATTCCAAGGTTCCATGCATTTTGCAGTAAGGTGGCTTCCCTTGGTTTGCAATTATAGGGCCAATGACCTGTCTATCACTGTTAAGTTTTGGTTCCGCCCCTCTTTCCAGGGCTCTGGGAGGGGAAGGGAACAATTTTTAGTTCAGTCTTATAGTGGAAAGTGTTGGGGTTCAGCCTGCGTGTGAACCTGAACCTGATTCTCTGATTGTATTTCCTGATGCAACTGAACAGGCTACTGAACATGAATTTGTCCCTGATGGTTTGGAAACTGTTGAAACTGTTGATTCTGAGGTCAGTGGCTTGGAAAGTGAAACTACGCATCCTGATGGGAATGTTTCTGAATCAAGCGGTGATAGCTCTCCAGAGGAGCTAGCATCTGTCTTTTTTAATGAGGATAGCAAAGGACAGATTTGGAAAAACAGGAGTGAATCGCAGAGTCTGCGAAGGTCAAGCAGATTAAAGGAAAGGGAGGCACAGGCTTCAAAGTCCGGAGGCATGTCCCGAAACAGTTACTTTAGTTTTAAGTGTCTCTCCCCAGGCTCTCTCGTTAGATCAAGCATCGTTTAGACTGAGGCATTACCTTGGCAGATTTCCTGGTTTCCATAGCCTGCATTCCCAGAGGCTTCTAGTTTCCAAGTACGGTTAGTGAGATGCTAACAGGTTCCAGGTTTTTCTAATGTTGCTTTTGGAATTTTGATCTAGTTCATAGATATTCCTGACTGCTGAATTTTACTGTGGCTTTTTGGACTTTGTATTTTCTTCTATTTTGTAACCATTTTTTATCAATAAAAAAAGATTATTTTTTCCTACAGTCAAATGTGGTGGATTAATATCTTATGGTCTTGTTTCCTGATCTGGGTTGCAACAGAAAGCTTAGCTACGGGATGTGGATCAGCTCCATCTGTAGACAAGCTTCGTTTCTCACAGCATCCGGAGGAAACAAAAGCATCCGGGGAAACAGCTCCACATCTTTCATGGAAAAGATCCTCAAGAACTCCAGGTGGAGAATCTACAAACCCTTGGCTGGTAGGTCTACTCGGGGAACCAGAAGCAATTGGAGCCGGGAGTAGAGCCCACACCAGCAAGCAGAGAAAGTAGATTGCCTGGGAGGGGTTAAAAAGGGTTTTCCTCTTAAAAGAAAAGAAACAGTTTACGAAACCAGTTACCTGTCCATTTGGGCAAGTTAAGAAGCATTTGTTTGACTTGTTGAAGATCTGAGAAGTGTTTGTTTAAATTGTTGAAGATCTAAGCAATAATAAAGGACTTTGTTAAACCTTTCAAGCATCTAAAGACTTTTGTATAGGAAAATCCTTAGGGCCTCTCAGCCAAGGCAACCCGGCTTCCCGCTGGGCACAAAGAGCACATCCTGTTCAAAAGGCAATCATTATAGGCCCAGTGCGTGACAGCACATATCTGTCATATTAAGGAGGGGATTGGGTGTCCCTTGTGGGTCTCTCCCAGCTCTAGGATTCCATGATTCTCCCCACTGAGACCCACCTCTTCGAGGCCGCAGTCGCAGTCCTCCCCTTCTTCGATGACCTCGTTTCCACACTCTTTGTTCCTGAACGTTTTGGGGGGCTCATCGAGCAAACACTCTTTTCCTGGCTTTCGGATCATGTCGTCATATACTTCCCGGCTGCAGTTGCTCAGTCTTGGGCATTCACTGGAAAAGGGTAAATTATTGTCACGCAGCACAGTGAACAGTGGTTTAGGGATATATATTTTTAAATTTATTACAGCCATTCATATCTTGCCTTCCCAGACAGAAATCCTCCCAAGGAAGCAGCAAGCTGAGCATAAACTCAATAATAAATAGATGATTACAGATAACGGAACTATAAATAACTATAAATAATGTTAAAGCATTGGATGATGAAAGGCATGAAAACTTTTCTCTCCTTTTATTATCTCTTCTTATTTGCAGTCATAGACTGATGCCGAACGGAATTAGTGTGCTGGAGCTTGCAGCTGGCATATTATTATTATTCATCACTAAGCTCTCTCGTTTGGCATTTGATTTTCCAAAGGTAATCAGCTCTGTTTGAACTCCGACTGGCCGATTGGGATTTTGCTTTGTCAGAATTACAACTCCTTTACAAAGAGCAGAATCCAGAGATGCATCCTACACTAAAAAAAAACTAAATTCTGAGATTTTGGGAGTCTTAACAGGGAAGAAGGGAAAGGCGGGGAAAGAAACAGATAATGGGCTGACCTAAGAGGTTTCCTGCAAACCTGTTTTAGGCTTGGTAAATGATTAGATTAATCCTCCCAGGAATGTTTGGGGCTGGACTGGGGCTGAGTTCGGCTGAAAACCAGCCAAGCTCTAAAAATATGCTATATATTTATAGTTATTGTTATTAGAAAATTAGAGGATTATTAAAGAGGATTATTAAAATCATTATATTTTAAGAATGATTCCATATTAATGTTAAGTGTTCTTTATGTAATTTATGTTTAATGTCTGTGATGTTATATGTAGGTTAATTGATTGTTTTATGTTTCCATTTGTGTATTGGATCTGGCATTGAATATTTGCCATCTTTTCTTGTGATCCACTTTGAGTCCCCTCAGGGAGAGAGGGAGGAATATAAATAAAGTGTTGTTGTTGTTGTTTTATGTTTCTGTTTGTGTATTGGATCTGGCATTGAATATTTGCCGTCTTTTCTTGTGATCTGCTCTGAGTCCCCTCAGGGAGAGAGGGAGGAATATAAATGAAGTGTTGTTGTTGTTGTTTTATGTTTCTGTTTGTGTATTGGATCTGGTATTGAATATTTACCATCTTTTCTTGTGATCTGCTCTGAGTCCCCTCAGGGAGAGAGGGAGGAATACAAATAAAGTGTTGTTGTTGTTGTTTCATGTTTCTGTTTGTGTATTGGATCTGGTATTGAATATTTGCCATCTTTTCTTGTGATCTGCTCTGAGTCCCCTCAGGGAGAGAGGGAGGAATATAAATAAAGTGTTGTTGTTGTTGTTGTCGTTTTATGTTTCTGCTTGTGTATTGGATCTGGCATTGAATATTTGCCATCTTTTTTTGTGATCCGCTTTGAGTCCCCTCAGGGAGAGAGGGAGGAATATAAATAAAGTGCTGTTGTTGTGTTGTTGTTGTTCTTTTATGTTTCTGTTTGTGTATTGGATCTGACATTTAATATTTGCCATCTTTTCTTGTGATCCGCTCTGAGTCCCCTGAGAGAGAGAGGGAGGAATATAAACAAAGTGTTGTTGTTGTGTTGTTGTTGTTGTTTTATGTTTCTGCTTGTGTATTGGATCTGGCATTGAATATTTGCCATCTTTTCTTGTGATCCACTCTGAGTCCCCTGAGAGAGAGAGAGGGAGGAATATAAATAAAGTGTTGTTGTTGTTGTTGTTGTTGTTGTTGTTTTATGTTTCTGCTTGTGTATTGAATCTGGCATTGAATATATTTGCCATCTTTTCTTGTGATCCGCTCTGAGTCCCCTCAGGGAGAGAGGGAGGAATATAAATAAAGTGGTGGTGTTGTTGTTGTTATTGGTTAATATTTCGATAACAATGGGACCATTCATAAAACCCCAAAACAAACAAGTACTACTTCTAACCCAGGCATCACTGCGTACTGCCTAAGTTGTCCCTATCTATCTATCTATCTATCTATCTATCTATCTATCTATCTATCTCTTTATTGAGCAAACACTCTTTTCCTGGCTTTTGGATCATGTCGTCATAGACTTCCTGGCTGCAGTTGCTCAGTCTTGGGCATTCACTGGAAAAGGGTAAATTATTGTCATGCAGGGACTCAGAGCGGATCACAAGAAAAAATGGTAAATATTCAATGCCAGATCCAATACACAAATAGAAACATAAAACAATCAATTAACCTACATATAACATCACAGACGTTAAACATAAATTATATAAAGAACACTTAACATTAATATGAAATCATTCTTAAAATATAATGATTTTAATAATCCTCTTTAATAATCCTCTAATTTTCTAATCCTTGAAGTGACTGGACTGACCTTTAGGGAGCTGGGGGTGGTAATGGCCGACAGGGAGCTCTGGCGTGGGCTGGTCCATGAGGTCACGAAGAGTCGGAGACGACTGAACGAATGAACAACAACAACAATTTTCTAATAACAATAACTATAAGTATATAGCATATTTTTAGAGCTTGGCTGGTTTTCAGTCGAACTCAGCCCCAGTCCAGCCCCAAACATTCCTGGGAGGATAGAACTAGGACTCAGTAGTAATGACTTAGGGTGCATCTACCCTGCAAGGTTAATACAGTTGCCCTCCACTTCAACTGCGATGGCTCATTCCTCATTCCTCATTGCTATGGAATAATGGGAGTTGCGATTTTACAAGTTCTTTAGCCTTCTTTGCCAAAGAGAGCTCGTGCCTCACCAAACTACATCTCCCAGGATTCCATAGCATTGAGCCATAGCAATTCAAGTGGGGCCAAACTACATTCCTTCTACGGTGGAAATGCAACCTAGAGTTCAAAGAACCCATCGAACTGTACTCACGGAGATTTTTTGCCCACCATTAGGCAGCTGCCCTCCTTACTGCAATTACAGTCACAGCCCCGGGCTAAATTGGTCGAACCGTCGTCATGCAAAAAGCCCAGCGAATGGCCCAGTTGGTGAGCAACGTTTTCAGCATCATTTTGAAGGTTGAGATATGTCTGCATGCAGGAGACAAAGGGAAGGCGGCATTGAGGTGAAAGCGAATATGAAATGTCAGGTGTATTTTCATCAAATGCATTCTGTCAGCCCACCATCTTTACTGGGGTTAGGAATAAACCAGCAATGAAGAAGCAAATCATGTCTTTTTACCTCTATAGCAGTGTTTCTCAACCTTCCTAATGCCGCGACCCCTTAATACAGCGCCTCATGTTGTGGTGACTCCCAACCATAAAATTATTATCGTTGCTACTTCCTAACGGCAATTGTGTTATTGTTATGAATCATAATGAAAATATCTCAAATGCAGGATGTATTTTCATTCACTGGACCAAATTTGGCACAAATACTCAATAACGGAGCTCCATGCAGCCTTGGAGGTGTCTATGGACAACACCAGCTCTTTGGCCTGTTACTTGAGCACCAACCCCCAGACTTGGACATGATTTGATTAATGTCAGGGGAAAACTTTTACCTTACCTCACCCAATATGCCAAATTTCAATACTGGTGGGGTTGGAGGGAGAATTGATTATGTCGTTTGATAGTTGTAGTTACTGGGATTTATAGTTCACCTACAATCAAAGAGCATTGTGAATCCCACCAACAATGGAATTGAACGAAACTTGGTGCACAGAACTCCCATGACGAAGAGAAAATACTGGAAGGGTTTGGTAGGCATTGACCTTGAGTTTTGGAGTTGTAGTTCACCTACATCCAGATAGCACTGTGGACTCAAACAATGATTGATCTGGCTCAAACTTGGCACGGATACTCAATATGCCCAAATGTGAACACTGGTGGAGTTTGGGGGAAATAGACCTTGACATTTGGGAGTTGGGAGTTGCTGGGATTTATAGTTCACTTACAATGAAAGAACATTCTGAATCCCATCAACGATAGAATTCAGCTAAACTTCCCACATAGAACGCCCATGACCAACAGAAAATATTGTGTTTTTTTATGGTCTTTGGCGACCCCTCTGACACCCCCTCATGACCCCTCAGGGGTCCCGACCCCCAGGTTGAGAAACGCTTGTTGTTCATTTGTTCAGTCATCTCCGACTCTTCGTGACCTCATGGACCAGCCCACGCCAGAGCTCCCTGTCGGCCGTCACCACCCCCAGCTCCTTCAAGGTCAGTCCAGTCACTTCAAGGATGCCATCCATCCATCTTGCCCTTGGTCGGCCCCTCTTCCTTTTACCTTCCACTTTCCCTATAGGAATCCCTAAGTTCTCCAGCACAACTCAATGGTCATTCTACATTGACTGTAGAATTGCACTGGAGGATCTTGAAATTCCTACAGGGGTGAAATCCTATTGTCAACTCCAAAAGTTCTTCCCAATAGCTGCATTTCATCCCAGAGAGAAATGACTTATGGAATGCCATAATGATGTCAAGTGGAATTCAATGTATTTATCAATGACTTGACAATGGAGTAGAAAGCATGCTGATCACCTCTGCAGATGGGACCAAATTGAGAGGGAAAGCCAATACCACAGAAGATAAGATCAGGAGACCTAGGCCAAAACTAACACAATGAATTTCAACAGGGAGAAATGTATGATATGACAGGCAATAGAAAAGAAATGTACAGATACAGAATGGATGAGACCTGGCTTGAAAAGAGTCGGTGTGAAAAGGATCTCGGTGGCTTAGTAGACCACACGGTGAACATGATGCAGCAGCTAAAAAGGCCAATGCAATTCTAGGATGGATTCTTTTCTACTTTGATCGGTCATCACCTGGAATGACCCTGGCCAAAGCACTTCAAGGACATAGACAAATGCCTTGGACCACAAGAAGATCAAACCAATCCATCCTCCAGGAAAGAAAGTCTGACTGCTCACTGGAGGGAAGGATATGTCGTATACCAGAACAGGAATACCTCTGACCTTAAACGCCATACCAGCTTGGTAAAATCAGCAAGCAGTTGAAGAATATAAGCAGGCAGGAAAATTAACAAAACAGTAAAGTTCCAAAACAAAG